CTAATGTTGCTTTCACGTTCTTAAACTGTATGAAAGTCTATCACATAATAGATTTTACTTTTAAAGGTGCCTGCCAAAAACTTTTCCATCACAGATTTGTCAACAAAACAGCCACCATGTTTGGGTCAAAGGATTAGGATGGATGAGATGGGCCTCCATCTTTTAGTAACCAGCATAGACACACTATGTGTACTCTATTTCGGTCACTAATTGGTGTATTTAAGTTTATTTCCATTCCTTACACACTTCATGTATATATATAATATCCTGCTTTATATTTTGTTTTGTTTTGTTTACTGTAAATGTGTATTTCAACATGTATATTTTCTACTTTTTTAATGCTATTTTATTTCTATTTGAGATGTTTACATTTTGAATTGTTAATTTTAGTCTTTTTAATTTCTGTAATGTGCAATGCCTTGTCTTTGTATGCTGCTGCAACGCAAACATTTCCCAAATTGGGATCAATTAAGTAAATATTATCTTATCTTATCATCTTACCTTATTTGGCAGCTTAAAGAAATTATACAGATTTGCATTAAAATATGATTATGTTTTTACATTAATCTTTACGCAATGCTTTACGAAGCTGTATTAAAACTATAAAGCTGGAGAGTAATACAAAACATACCTTTCCCTTCTTCATTATGTTTTCCCTTTTTGCACCTTTTAGATGTTCAGAGTCACAGGTAATATATATCGTTCTTTCTTTAATCCAAAATATGAAAATACAGCTCCTCTTGTCGTGTGTTGTGTGGTTTGTGTGGTCCTAAACACGGCGAGACTGTTGTGTGGAATAGCTCTGATTTATCTCCAGCGTGCGGATTACACTGGAGCTTTATATGGCTGCATGTGGTTAATCTCTCTCCAACCCTGATCCCACTCCACCCCTATCTTCGGCCTGATGACGTCGCTCTAGAAACGTCCAGGTAGTCCCAAAACACTGAGAGGAAACCAGACCATACCATTGCTGTTGCCAAAGAGGGGTGTTGTTTAAGTTTCTCAGTGCTGTCACAAACCTTGTCAGCAGTGTTTCTGGACAGTTGATCATCATGCCAGACAGACTCAGAGGACTTACACATCTGAATCACACATGCATTACACAACATGTTCCTCCACTGAAGAGGGAAACAATAAGACCACAGACATAGGGGGTATTTCATAATCAGCATATGCAAATTCATACTGTCGGATAATATATAATAATTAGGGCTGTCAGTCGATTAAAATATTTAATCGCGATTAATCGCATGATTGTCCATAGTTAATCGCGATTAATCGCAAATTAATCGCACATTTTTTATCTGTTCTAAATGTACCTTAGAGGGATATTTTTCAAGTTTTTAATACTCTTATCAACATATGAGTGTACAACTATGCTTTATATGTTTGTTTATTATCATTTGAACAATGACAAATATTCTCATGAATATTAAACACAACAACCTCTGAACATTACAAATATTCGCCTCAATTCAACCTAGAACCTCTCTCATACAATACTGTGTGTGTGTGTGTGTGTGTGTGTGTGTGTGTGTGTGTGTGTGTGTGTGTGTGTGTGTGTGTGTGTGTGTGTGTGTGTGTGTGTGTGTGTGTGTGTGTGTGTGTAGGATCGTTGGAGCTATGTGCAGCTCAAGGCATATATGCCTGTGTGTATGAGCTGTGTTGCGCGCACTATCCGTGCTGAGTGTGCTGTCTGGCTACCTGCATAAAGTCAAGTGCTCGGCGCAGTTGTCAGCGAAATGTCGCTCCTCTGTTTTCATTGAAACAGCTCCTTATATCCGTTAGCTCAGCTAGCTAGCACCAGATGCTAACAACAACACGTAAGGTGTGCTTCGCTCGCGCCACACATACACACACCCTCCCCGTCCTCCCGATGGCCAGTCCGGGCCTGCCGGTGAGCGTGGAAGTGTGGTCTGCCACAAGCGGGCAGCAGGAGCGGGGCTGTCAGCATCAGCTTGTAGATGGTATTTTAAACTCGATGCGCTCTGAAACTACGGCGGCCGAGGACAAAAAATACACATGCGTTAATCGCGTTAAAATAATTAGTGGCGTTAATTTTTTTTTGCGTTAACGCGTTATTAACGCGTTAACTTGACAGCCCTAATAATAATATGTTATAGATTTTTTTGAAGAGTGGAATTAGTATGCTCAATTGATAATTGAATATTCAAAAATCAGAATTGTTGGTGAATTTATACATGAAATATAAAGATAATGAGTGAATAAACCAAGCTAATTCGGACACTATTGTCTTTTTAAAACTGTGAATAGTATCAGATTCAGTTTGGTATTTGATCCAATGAATGAAAGATCCCCAGATGGCTTCACCTATGTTCCCCTGATCGCTCCCAATATATGTAATCCTCTCCATCTCCAGAGTAGTGACAAGATGCTCCAGCCACAGTGTACATTAGGAATATCTTCACTAAACCGAGTTTATGATGTCTGTTTTTTTAGTGTTTTTTTTTTAACTAATTCATTTTAAGCAAAAGTGATCTTGTTAAGTGACTGCATGACAAACTGTGATCTTGTTAAGTGACTGCATGACAAACTGTGATCTTGTTAAGTGACTGCATGACAAACTGTGATCTTGTTAAGTGACTGCATGACATAATGTCTTTGTGTAAGACACTGGTTTTGTAACAGCCACCTCAGACTAATGAGATTGGAGTTAAGAACATTATGGAGCAAACACATAACCTCATAAGTCACTCATCTTTGACCTGCTTTAAAAAGTATTGTTTCATCACTTTCTGCTTTGCAAAGAAGACAATTAGAAACAACACCAGCGTGGATCTGAAGAAGTGTGATACTTCAAAAATAATTTTTGTTTCTGTAAGGAATATAATTAAAGAACACAGATTAGAAAAATCACAGATCACATTCAATGATTCCCCTTCCATCAACAGCCAGTGGAAGTTAATTTGATTTTCTCGATAAAGTTACAGTATTATGATATTTAGCAAGATGTATTTTCTTTATTCTACAGCAAAAGATTCTTCAAAACACAAACATAAATCCACTGTTTCTATCCATTTCATCATTTATTCAAGCAGACAATTTAAGAAGCAGGAGAAAACAAAGAGGACAACATTTTATGTGAAGCTGTTGCTTAAAAATAAGACGACAAGATTCATTCAAACAAAACGTAAAATTGGAATGACATGAATTATATTGCATACGAAAATTCTGTTTCAGTTCCCATCATCAGTATATTCAACATGTTAAATAAAACAAAATATGTATGCACTTCCTTCTTTTAGCCACTTGATGGCACAAGCAGACAAGAATCAAATGTATGCTGCAGGAAGGAACCAGTGTCACAACAGTATGCAGCATAATTACGGAAACACTTCTTCTTTGGGATAAGACCTCTATACAGAACACTGTCTGTCTCTTTTTATTCTGGTAGTAGAGGAAGAGGATGATTGGTGACAACGCAGAAGCCTCACTTATTTCTTCCAGATTATATTGGTTATACAATCGCACAATAGAGTTTCTTTAGAAATTTGAAGATCTACAGTTCCGTGATTTCCAGGGAAACTCTATCTGCTCATGTGATATGATCAAAATCTCCAGATCAGCAACCAAACGGATCATGTGAGATGTTACCACAACTGGGAATGAACTTTGAAACGTTGAGTCTTTCACTTTGATATGGATTTTTGACAGAAGGGACTTTTGGTTCCAGCATTATTTCTGGTCCCTGGGTCTCGTCATACAATAACAAAAACGTGCTCTTGTTGTTATCATCCTGTCCACTGGGTGGCATATGAAGACCTAAACCACGATTCTTAGAAATTACATGACCACTGGTTGAGTCACAGCTCCAGCAGTGACTGTAACTGTGGGCTTTGTCTCCCTCTGATGCAGCGTTGAGAATAAAAGTTTGGATGTGTTGTATAAATGTAGGGCAGATGGCCGAGGGCAGCTTCTGACTGATGCTCATTTTTTATTTCTTGGCTCCCAGGGAGAGATACAGGCTATTGCTTAGAGACAATTGTACTACCAGAGAATCACCTGATGCTGAGGAGATTTCATATTATGATCCTGAATTCAAATAAATGTACTGCTGGATATGTGTCTCGTGAGGAGTCACATGTACTCCTGAATGATAGTCAAAGCCGGGAATACTAATCTTAGCTCAATTGCCTTCATACAACATGTACATGCATTTGTTTTATAATATCAGTGATTTAAGGTTATATAAATCACAAACAGGAACATAATGTCTCCGTCTACGTCAGTGCGCACAGGCCTTGAAGTGGACTGTAGTGATATAAGAGGTGACGTCTCCATTAGCTGTCTGGCACCCTGAGCATTTGCATACCGACATCTCATATCACCCTCAGCAAAACATTACTGTACACAGAATACATCTGTTATATAATAATAATATTATATTATTATATTATTATTATTATTATTATTATTATTATTATTATATTATTATATATTATATTATTATATTATTATTATTATTATTATATATATTATTATATAATATATAATATTATAAATATAGTCTCCTTTCCAATGGCTACTTGTTTTATCTTTTAATTTTTACTAGCTTCCCTTGTTATTTTTATTTGTGTCTCTTGTATAACTTGCCTGTAATTGAACACTTTTTAAAAGTTTAATCTTTTACCTTTGCTGTATATTCATTACTTTGCAGCACATTGAGTCCCTCCGGTGTATGAAATGTTCCAACACAATAATGTAGCCTTGCGTGTGCTTTTTTTAAAAGTCAGTGTGTTCAGGGAAAAGAACATCACCTTTTATTTATTGAAGTGCAACACTTACATTGCCTCTTATCACACACAGGAAGCTCAAGGGGTGTTTCTTGTTTGTAAAAAGCCCTAATGGCTCTCAGACCTTGAGCGTGATTGGCTGATTGCCTCTGTTGCTAAGCTACGGCTCTAAGGTACGCGGTGGTAATACTGATGTTAGCTTCACATTAAAGAGGTAAGGGAAAAAAGACGAGCTACAAGAAAAAATGCTATATCATATTTAATAATGGTACTTTGCTGTATGGTGTAAAACATTCACAAGGAGATGCAGTCACTTGATAATACATTTATTTCAATGATATATCTTCAAATAAAAAGTTTATACTCCAATCTATTATTTGTGATATACATACAATAATCCAATGCTAACTTAATTTACATATTTGCAAACCTACATGGAACAGGAATAAAGGTTATATACAAAATGTACAAGAAAACATACTGTATATCCCACCAGACATGGTCTATAAAATGACCTATAATCCCTCCATGATTACCTGCATACAAATACAATGCAATTTATTCTCATTTCTTAAAAATGTTATACAATTCTCAATCACAAATGGGTGATTTTATAAAGATTCCTTACATGGTGAAATGTTGTGAAAATAGCTTATATCATTTCAACAGGGCAGACACAAATCTTCCTCCCACCTGTGTATTAAACTTTTCTATTGCTATATATTGTTATATATTGATCTACGAGGTCTGTATGTAAAGTGCCCTTTACACATTGTAGCATGAATGTACAGAAATAAATCATTGTTAGTGAATGTACATGTGAGTTTTTCTCTTGGCAAGAGTTTGTGCTTCCCTCATGTAGCTTTGTGAGCTGGAATAGGAGGACAAAGTTTAGTGGGGAACACCAAGCGCTCTCTTCTTTTTGGTCTTCAGCACAAACCCCCCCGAGGGACAGGTGATGACTTTGTGGTTGGATGTTGAACCCAAGGAAGAATAAAGCCATGTTGTACGTTTTTTTTTTTTAGCAATCCTGGGTAGGAGGAAGAATCAGTTTGAGTTCAGGAGCCTTCACTTCCTGCCGTGCCTTCATCCATCACTGATATTTTCACTCTCTTATGTTGAGAGACTTGGCACAGCAACTGGCCATCATGCAGAGTCCAGTGTACTGTATGTGGCAGGCCAGGCTGGCATGGGGAGCAGGGAGGCCCCCCAAAGCTGATACCTCAGGAAGTTTGAGCGTTTTTTTTTAGTTCAAGGATCAATGCGGAAAGCTAGAAGCTTGTCGGAGTGGTGGTTGTTCAGGGTGCGCAGGTCTGGCAGACGCAGCAGCAACTTTTGGAAGAGGGTGCTATCATCTGGACGGCGACTGGAGATGAGAGAGCGCAGAGCTTTTATTAGATTCTCCTGCAACAGCTCCAGAGCTCCAACCTCCACTATGCCGGATCGATCTGCAGAAAGAGAGGGAGAGCATTGGGGTTAGACACAAGGAAATAGGTGCTTACAGTATGTGCTTTGTTTACAAGTATTAGTGTGCCAGCTTACCGGCAGAAACCAGCACGACAGCCATGAAAAGAGCCATCTCGTCCGGCTCCAGACCCAAAGATGCAAGCTTCTCGCTGAAATCAAACATGGCTTCCAGTAATGGGCCCATGCCCAGAGCCCTCAGTGAAGCCAGTGAGTATGTCTGCCCGTTGAGGAAGGTCACCGTCCTCTGCTTGGGGTCAAACAGTGAGCTGAATCTCACCATCAGAACCTGTGAGAAGAACCAGACAATGTCAGTCGAAAAAAAGACTCCAAAGGATAGCAAAATAAAATAAACAAATTCTCTAAACAAAACATTATATTTAGCTGTATGTACCTGGAAAGTGCCGGATTTGAGCAGCATGACCTGATCATGCTGGCTGAGGGACTGGAAGCCTGGGATGCTCTTTGCAAACTCCACCACTTCTTTAACAGCAGGGGTGAAGCACTGGGAGAAAGACTCCCACACCTCCTGACTGGAGCGACTGGCCGGAGCCACGGGACAGGAATTAAGGGGACATGCCTGCAGGAGAGACAAAGAGAAGAGAGGAAAAATAAGTCATATGGACTTTCTATTGACATTAAAGTGACATATGATATTCACATACTCAATAAACAGATGAAAAAAGTATTCTCACCAGCACTTTGGCTCCTCCGCTTAGTTTCCAGGGGCAGGCACTTTGCTTCTGGAAATCACCGGCTGAGTAACTGTTCTGATTGGCTGAGTAGGATTGAGATGCTAGGCGACCACTGACAGGGCACTGATTCTGATTGGAAGAGAAGTTGTACTTGGCGTTGTCGACCATAGTGGAGTTTTCGTTGTTGGTGGAGGAGACAGGGCAGCTTGTTGGGACGAGGTAGCTGGCCTGCTCCCCGTGGACCGTGTGGTGGGTCTGAGTCCCCGAGTTCGACAGGGAAGGCTTCTGCGCTGAATTGTTTCGGAATGAGGAAGTGCCAATGTTGCCGGCAGCCATCTTGATTGGTTTCTCATCTCTGAGGTAAGATATGGAGGCCGCTTCTTCGCTCGTCTGGGTCTGGGGACTGCAGGGGGCGTCGGTGGGAGGCGATACCTCCATCTCCATGGAAGCGGATTCGTTGAGGCTGTTCATGTAGCTCTGCATCTCATCCAACAGTCTCTGCTTCTCCCGCTTGGGAATACGCCCAAAACGCACAGCTGAGGAGAACAGAAGAAAAGCATACATTAATACTCAGGCAATTACAATTATAACTATGTAGAGAAACAGCCACTTTTAATTCAAATATGGATTCTACTTATGACCCTCAAGCGGCCATCTCTGTGTGGATTACTAATCCCAAAACCTCTCTACTGTCTCCGATTATTCTGAAACCGTCACAGCAGTTTCACCATAATACGAATACTTAAGCCTTCCTCTCATCCGACTCTCCAGCCTTTTCAATCCTCCCTTCCCCCCTTTTTCAATTCTTCACCTATACACTAACATCCCTATTTATAGAGCGCTGCATGCTGCACCACATCCCCCAGCACCCCTCTCTCTTTCTCTGTTTATGTCTTCCAGTTGTGCATTTGTTCTATCTTTTTCTGTAAAACTAGGTCATTGGGTCATTAGAGAAATGACAGTGGAAAGGTCAAAGAGACAAGGGCTGCAGGTAGGAGAGGTGAAGAGACCAATGGTTGGAGGTGGAAAGAATTGGATGATCACTTAATTGTATTTTCGAAAACAGTTATGCTGTCAAATCAAAAGTGTTACATAAAAATGTCTTTGAAGGTCGATATAACATTCTCATTTTGGGCTTCGGTAGATAATTAAAACATGTAAATGCTGATTCTTAAAAATAAAGTTTGCCTTCTGTTATAATACAGGTGATTTTCCACTCCCATGGCTTTTTTAGGTCAGCTAAAAATGTTTGCTCCAGAAAGAACATGATTTATTATCTCCTAGTTTAGCCATTTCCCCTGAGATCAGAGTCCTGCGGTGAAATTATGCAGTAGAGCAAATTTACTGAAGTAATATTATTTAATTGAAAGTCAAGTGCTGCAGGTTTTCAGGATTAACAGGACAGAATAACATCAGGTCCCAGATGACTGTTTGTTAACATCAGTATTGACGAAAAGGAAATGGGCAAGTCGGTACATTTTGGTGACATGTCGGTAACTTTGTGTCCCCATTTCCCAAAATAAACTATATTTGTCACAGTTTCCGCATGACAGATGACTACTGGGACTCTAGCGCTCCTCCTGCCATAAATCAGACAGCAGGGCAAGGAGAGAGGATGGCAGAGGGAACAAAAGACAAAAAGGAGAGAAAGGAAAAAATACATTCTATGATGGGGAGTGACACTTCCTTACAAACTATTTTAACAGTCGAATGATCTATATCTGATTTTCCATGTCACACTGCAAACATAGATAAATGCAACCCTAAAGTAAATACAAAATGATTTCATTTTCAGTTGCCATATGTCTTAATATAATCTTTAAAAAGGGACATGAACACGTCTCTCACCATCTCTGGACATGCCCACGGAGAGACACTTCTTAAAGCGGCAGTGCTGGCACCGGTTTCTGTTCATGCGCATGATGAGACAGTTTTCATTCTTCACACACATCTTGTAGTGGATATTCTGCTGAATGCTGCGTCTGAAAAAACCCTGGGGAAGGCACAAAAACAATCAAAGCTTTAGAAGAGAGTATTGTGTGGCAACATGTCATCATGTACACTTAATGAATGGAAAGACATGACATAATAGTATCGTTTTTTCGGTCTCACCTTGCAGCCTTCACAGGCGTGCACACCATAATGGAACCCAGATGCGATGTCCCCACACACCTTACACAGAAGCACCATACCTCCAGTCTCTGAAAGAAGCAAACATTTATCATCAGAGAGAGGAATACAATTAAAAAACATTCTAGGCAGGTAGACATAACAAGAAGAGGCAGGCGTGAGTGGGTACTTACTGGTGAATGTTCCAGTGAAACCACAAGGTCTTTTGGCCACTGTGGGATGGCTGAAGGTTGCCGACGATACTGTTGATACTTGGGCCACTGGAGCGTTGTTTACTTCTGGAAACTGGAAGACCAATTTCGGGGAAGGGGTCCCTCCCCTTCGTTCCCCTCGCTGCTTAAGGGGCCCAATCTCCTGGAAAGAGACCGTCTCTGGGGAGGAAGGCTGCGAGTGGGATGAGGGCGACTGGGTCTGGTATCCACTGGAGGGGCTGCCAGGACTCGGGCTGGCACTGCCGGAGGAGCCAGCGTACAAGATAACACCTGGAGGAGCAGAGAGGAGGGGGACATTCAGTTCTCTGATCTTTATCTGGCTCACATGTACAATGAAGAGGGAGTGCTGGGGAGAAGAGCAATGCTACACTTTGATCCAGTGTAACTGTAATCCAGTATTTAATGACAAATTAGAAGCCCATTGGAGAATGTTTAAAAATGACCAGGCAAGATAAATACATTCATCCACACATGGATTATTAAGCCATAAATAACATAATGGCCTGATAATGTATGTTTTCTACAGAAGTTACATTTTTGCCATAAAATACCCTTCATCCTATCCTATCCTAGCCAAACATATTTCAGGAAACCAAACGTAATCAATCTATCTGGAAAAGGAAACTCCATAAATGCGCATTATTATATGAAATTGAGTCACTATTCATTAACAATGAGAGCCATAGACAGGCCATAAACAGGCCTTTGTGCAGGGATGTCACATTGAGTCAGAAATGCCCTATTCCCCTCGACAGCCCCCCCACACCCCCTCCCCCTCATGTTGTGCAGAATGTTCTTCCCTGCAAGATGAGAGCCTGCCCCTCACGTGCAGCCCGAGCCAGCCAGCTCCCTGCCTGCTTGCTTACAGCATCGAATCTCTCCTCCAATCCCTCCCTTATATTCAAGCCTCCTCCCCTTCTGCCTCCTCCTCCTGCCTCCCCCCCCTCCCCGCTATGGCTGTGGGCATGCAGACACATCTATCCGCCAGCCACCTGACCGGGAGCTCACATGGACTCTTGACACAGTTCCCGCCCGGCTCACAAGGCTCTTTGCGCAGTCCCGTGTAGACAACAGCAGCAGAAGTACAATAACAAGCGCAGATCACGTTTGGAAGAGAAAGGACTTCAGTGCTGTGGCTTTAGACGCAGGGGGGAGCAGAGCAGGGCACTGCTACCTTAAGACACTGCCTTCCACAGAGTCACCAGGAACGTGCTGTCACGTTTTTGCGTTTAACTTTTAACCCATTAAATGATTTGCTTAAGGGCTTTACTCATTTATGATGGGAGTTATATTTTGCAGTTATATCCATGGTGTTAACAGATGGGCAAAGTGCAAAACCCACTGACGCTTAAAAGCTTACATAAGTATTTTTAAATACTTTTAAAACTAAAAAGGACAGACCCCATTTCATGGCAAAAAAATAATAATCCTGATTTAAAGAAGTGGTATACTTCTGCTTATTTTGGTGGTCTCCTTTGGGTTTATTTCAGAGTTTGACCTTTTGATTCACAATTAGATCACTATGTCAGTTATCTACACATCTTAGCATACAACTATGCTAACCATAATGGTTTTCAAGGTGAGGAAATGGCATGCTCCACATTGGTGTCATGATTGCACTTCCCAATCACATGAGTGTCAAGGACTATGCCACTAAACACCACAGCTTGTAATAGCTTTTATCAATACTTCTGCCCCAGTTACTGCAGTCATGTAAGATAGTTCTGGTCTAACTGATATCAAACAATATTATTAGATTCTCTTCTCTGTCATTCTGTGAACATTTTGTCTCAAGGACACTGAACCTTATAGGGAAAAAAGCCTCCCACGTCTCTTGTGTTTTCTCTTCTTGAGAAACACGTGTTGCATTTCTGTCTGGCCTCCTTAATTACACTGCATGCTCACACGTGTCAACCCTGACTGAAAGGTACTCAAAGCCCCAGTTCATGTGGGGTGGTGGCAATACTAGTACTAGACTGACTGTTACATGCATTTTCTTGTGTGTTTGTGTAAGTAAGATTAAGCTTTATGGACATGTGGTGTGTATCACCTGCAGAGGACAGGGTGCCACTTTTTGTCTCCATTTTCTTAGAATCGGCTGAGTGCCCTAACAAGCTCTGGGAATACCCTCCCTGCTGTACTCGGGCACAAGCTACAACATGTGACCTGTGGATACACAGAGCCATGAGAAGTACAGAATAAACAAACCGCCCCTCCCTTCTGCCGACCTTTCACTCCACATGTGTTCCCACCCCCGCAGGCATGCATCCATGGCAGGCTAAATGTAAAGGCAGCACGCACACATGTTATTTGGGGACATGCCCCCTCTTAACTTCCAACTAGTCCGTCCTCTTTCATGAGAACATTTGTAAATGTACATGGACAGTAAGCCCCACTCCACGTGAAACAGATGGCCTCATGTCATGTGTCTATTTATGAAACACTTTCAAGAAGGATGGTTCTCTGGCACAGAGGGCAACATTTCCTTTTATCACATGAACCTCAAATGATCTTTAATTGCTATACAAAGAAACAGTCATGCCTCCGTTGTATGTTGTTCCAGTTTCAATTTTAAGGAGTTATGTGGGGTAAAGGTTTGAAAAGTTTCACGTGTAGATATAGTGGGTTCGCCCATAAATATATAATGGACCAGAAGAAGTGGGTTAAATTCAATCCTTGGATAGAAATACTATCCGTCACCCATATCAAGCTTGGCTTTTAATGTGAATTAGCGAGCTGTGTGATCGTCTGTCAGGCTGACAACCCGAAGGAGTCTGATTTCAGGGCTGGTATCAGTGCTCAACATTAAGCTTATTGTGCTGGTTGGCATAAATGACACCAGTAAGGCATGCATATGCTTCTAAATAGTGGGATGTTATAACTATACATATAAAAATAGGTAGGCTACCAGCCATTGAATTTCTGGCATAGTGAAAACATTGTGTTTGATCATTAAAGACCGTAATGGTCCGGCTATGCTTTAAGGTCACAAGGTCAGCTCTCTGAACACTGGAGGTTACATTAGGGGTGGTCATATTATTGGGTAAAGCTAAAACGTAATTATTCAACTACTACAGATATAGCCAAACATATATTTAAAATGTCAACCAGTTAAATAGAAAGACTATGGTGATAGCTTTTTTCAGAATGTCATGTAATACAATAAAGTGGGGTCATAATGATTAACACTAACACTTGAATGCCCTGCATTAAGCATTAAAAGTGTTATTGTTGCAAATGTACATTACTGAAATCTAAGGTTGTGTATGTACTGTAAGAACAGTTAGCGTTGTCAACCAAAACCAAGTTAGAATTCTAGAAAAACTATGGTTATGCCCTTTTCAGGTACCAAACAGCAAGTTGAATATGGTCCGCTATAATTACTAGTTAACATTGTAAACCAGTTATAGTCTCCAGGACGAGAGAAAAGGCTGCTAAACCTCTGACCCACTGACCACCGAGCTATCAGCAATTGAAGAGGAATCCCCGTGAAGGCTGAGCGCGAGCACAATGCGCGCGGAGGAGATGGGAGGGGGTGCTTGGGAACTGAGCGCAGCACGTGGATTCTGAGGCTGTGTGCACGTGCTGTCAGCTCTAGGCGGGGTAACTGCGTATTAAAAAAAAAAAAGAATCAGGCGCATGATTCCCATCATTGTCACGACTGTTTTTACCCAGCGTGCACTGGGCGAAGAAAGTGATGTAAAGACAAGCCAGTCTTAATCCTCTGTTCAAGGACGTTATAATGTAATATTTTGGTTACCATAGATAAATACCTTATTATATAATTTATATATTTGTTTTCTTTTTTATTTCGCAGTCCATGCCATTTTATAGCTTACTCTGACAATGTACAAATGGTGTCGACCTAAAAACGTTAAAAGATTATTTTGATGTTACATGTTATTTCTAGTTCAGTCTTCATCTGTTATGTAACAGGAGTGCAGTGGATTTAGCACATACATTAATCTCCCGTTTTTATGCCCATTGCATAGGCTCTAATAGGGTATTTAATGATGTGTGCCTGGCCTGCATTCACATAGTTAACGGGAAAGTATTAAAATCGGTGGGCTTGTTTCCATCATGCGCTACATTTAGATCATGATTCAGTTCCTGGCAGGACTTGATGTTGACTGGGAACTGTTTTCGAATAGGGGCCAGTACATGGGTGAAACATTAGGCACCGAGTGTTTGACTCAGTGGGCGTTACTGCTCCTTGACATAGTCCACTGAATGTGTTATGGAAGAAGTTGAGGTTCAGCCAAATACATAATAAACAGCAAAGTTCAATGAGTCACACACTGCTACAAAGTATCAATTCACTCAAAAACTTCCCATAAATGCAATACTTTAAAATCCGTCTAAATGAAATGGCCCCAAGTGAGTGTGTAACCAATAACGTGAGAATAAACGTGTTCAGAGCATATGGGCTGAGCAGAACATGTTCTCGGTCAGAGGGCGATGTAGGTCTCGGTTCACGTGAGTGTGTTTACGTGCAGGGAATCGGAAGTCTGTCCCAGAGATTGATGAGAGAGGACTTCCCTCTCCGAGCTCAACTCATTCACTCAAAAACCCCTCAACTGTCTGCAGCCCAGAAGCACTTGGCAACGTGCCATAGCCTATGTTAGAATACACAGTTTAAACCCTGCCATATTCACCAAATACTATACAATTATTGTGCTGTAACAAGATTCCCAAAAGCTGCACAAAATACGAATCAGCTTCAGCTGTGGTCAAAAAATTTAATTGCAAAATAAAAATCATATACTAATGAATTGTAGTAACTTAATTAGACAGTGTTTTATTAAATGAAATGCAGTGGAACAGGATAAAAAGCAAAGCAGTCTTATAATTATATAACATTGAAAATGTTTATAAATTATCTTTAGAATAAACCAATACATGTGATATCTAGGAATAGCCAATATGTGATGTAGACAAGAGCACAGGCACCTGCTCCCATTATGCACCATTGCCTGCTTGTCTAGAATAATCTCTCCATGTAATGCAGGAGACATAGAGACGATACATTATATTAAAAAAGAGCCAAGGCTACTTACCACCAGGACTGTGTTCCATGTTTCCTATGTCGGTGTTGTTCAATTCCGTGCTGCTAATTGTGGTGGTCTAATGCCTTTGGTTTCTACCGAGGAGTTTTCGTGGATAAAGATGAACGAGTAAAAAGAGGCCAATTCATAAAGAATGTATCCAAATGCTCAGAGAAATGAGCAAATCTCTAATTGTTACAAATGATTTCCGAGGTCAAAAGACAGCACTCAGATTGGCTTTCTGTGTGCACCCCTTGATACCAGGCTGTGCTAAGATATTACTGTAAAGTGTTTTTCTAAATGAGAGAGATCCAAACGCGTTCAGCTGCTTGCCATGTACAGTCACCACCAAAACATGAACAGAGAGTGGAAGTAGTTTAAACACTCCCCACTCATCAATAAGCAACACGAGTCCTAAAATAACCCGCACGTTTTCAGGTGCCTGAGAAATGTGACCAGCTTTTTTCCCTGTTCTCTTTTTGTGTGTCCCGCTAACCGCCTGTAAGTCGGTGTGTATCAGGGATGTCTCTCCCCTCCCTCTCCCTCTGTGTGTCACGCTCTCTAAAAACATCTCACCCCCTCCCTTCCTCTCCTCGTGCCCCCACTCCTTTTTACTCTTTCTCACTTTTTCATTGGCCGAGAGCCCCGCGTGGACACGGCACATTGGGCTCGTTCGACATTGGAATGCTGGTTAAAGCTCTACAGCATGTGCGCATGGCATGTGAGCTTACGCTGCCCTACTGACACACATTTTATGCTAATGGCTGCCTGGGCTCTGCGATAACACAACGAGGAAACGAGGCAGAGATAGGCTGAGGGAGCGAGAGGTCTCACTCCTACCATGTCTCCCGAGTTTTCTAACACGTTTATATTAGAGCAGAAAAAAAGGGCTTCGCTCTGCAAATGTATTTCATAATGCCGACCCGATTACATACCAATGATTCAACCCTGTGTACAGTTTGGTTATGCAAGGACTGCAAAGGTGATATATAGGTCTATTTATTTTTCAAGGTGTTAATTGAAATGATCGTAAAATACAGTATAACATTTAGCAGATGTTTTTCAGCTAAACAAACCTTTTATGTAAAATAATATTCAGGATATGAATAATGATAATATATATAAGATATACCATTATTAATCACCCTAAGGATGTGAATAAGAAAGTAGAGTAACAAATAAAAAATAAAAGAATAATTCAAGTCTATAATTCATTAATAATGGAAATAGGACAATATTAGAAAGTATCAGTTTCAATAGTCTACAGCAGATAGTGTTATGGAAATCTTAGACCTAGTCAATACTGTGGAGATACACAATTAGAATGATCAATCAATAAACTGGTGAAACAAACAGAGTTGTCTTTCTGGTTCTTTATTCGAAGCTTCGAAGGTACAGGTCTCACAGAGACTCTGTGAGACCTGTACCTTCAAAGCTCTGTACTCTGTACTCTGTGACAGAGTACAGAGTATTCTGGAAGAGTGCACACAGAGGCAAGGGTGTGTGTAGGTTTTATAGGATCTTGACAGTTCAACAACACTTCGTCACCTGTCACTTGGCAGGGCTGGATGGGGAGATAAGCTACGCCTGCTTTCCAGAGGAACAGAAACTGTACATTGCTAATATAGTAAATCAGGAACTGGTTAAAGACAGGAACTTGTTTAAGACAGATGGAAGTGAGGACAGCAGGAACTCATTAGCCGCGTTCACACCGGAGTACTTTTCACCGTACTTTTCGCGTTTAGTTCCGTTAGTACCCCTTATGTCGCGTTCACACCAAAAATCGTACTTAATCTCGGGAACTTTTACCCCCATTTTTAGTGCCCGCTGAGAGATCGTACTTTCCTGTGGGTAAAAAGTGCCCCAGTGCTGATTGGCTGGGCGAATTGCAAACCACGCCCCGTACAACTGTGAAAATGTTGTGTAGAGCCGCCATTGTTTTTCCTCGCTACAAAAACCCAGCGCACCGACGGAGAGTAGTTTGTTTTTGAAAGCAGTTATGGCAAGCATCAAGAAATCATCGGAGTGATGAGGAGGTGTCGGCGCTTCTGGAGATCTACGCCGAGGACGCGACCCAGGGAATGCTACTGAAGCCAGTTCAGTAGCTTTCACTCAACCTGGGAATCGTGCACAGCCCCACGGCATTCCGGCTAAAAATAAATAAACTCAGGCAGGACTACAAACGGCGGATTCAGTGGCCAACAATGACGACCACGACGAAGGTAAAATCAACTACATGCACTGGGGTTTTAATCTGCACAATAATGGTCTCAGATGTACTTTTATTTGCTCAGTAGATCAAGCTAGCCATGCTAGGCTGAAATGGCCAACACCGGCCCCGAGCTAGCTACATCTAGCTAGCTAGATATTCTCGGCCGCTATGAAAACGTTTTGACTTGTGAATAACTGTGCAGTGTTTCTGTAATTTGCTTCACTAACTCATGGCACTAATCGTCTGTTTCAGGCGAGGATGGACAACTCTCGGGATTGGAAACAAGCGAGCTTTGCATTCTAGATCACAGCGCTTGGTCGTCCCCCTTACCAGCAACCAAACGCAAAGGTACACACACTGTAACTTTGTCTTGAAAGAACGTTACGCATCGAACTGATGTTCACAATCATGTTTATTTCCTTCTTGGTACAATTATGAAACAGCGTGAAAACGTATTCGCCTAGACCGGCATTTACAAATGTTCGCGCCTTTTTACTCTCTTACAAACATTGTAAACATCCGGGCTAGAGGTCACATGACTTCCGGTAAGAAAACTTGCCTCAACAACATTAAACAAAGTTCAAGCATACATGAAGCACTCTTCAAAAAGGAACAATCCTCCGTGTTTGAACCTCTTGAATCGCTGCATAGCCGATTTATTTGGACTGGATTATCCCAGAGAGGCTAAACATTCTTTATAACACAGTTTCAGATTTGTGAAACCTTAATTCTATTTGTGAAAATACAAAAAAGGGAGATTTCAGTGCTTTTTTTACATGTAGACCACATTAGACCAGGTCCTGATCTAAAACCACTATACCTAGACTCATCAAATCTGGACTGGATTATCCCAGAGGGTCTAAACATTCTTTATAACACAGTTTCAGATTTGTGAAACCTTAATTCTATTTGTAAAAATACAAAAAAGGGAGATTTCAGTGCTTTTTTTACATGTAGACCACATTAGACCAGGTCCTGATCTAAAACCACTATACCTAGACTCATCAAATCTGGACTGGATTATCCCAGAGAGTCAAAAGATTCTTTATAACACAGTTTCAGATTTGTGAAACCTTAATTCTATTTGTGAAAATACAAAAAACACATTCCTAGTATGTTGTAAAACTACATGGCGACTAAACAGATCTTGTATCTTGCTTATTTTCCCCTCTTAGGAAAGCGGACACGGGATGCGAATGTCTTTGACACCGTCCAGGCGTTGGAGGACCGGCGTGCCGTGGTGAAAGAGTCGATGCACGGGGATCAGATGGTGCTGTTCACCAAGGCCCAGGAAACGGAGGACAAGATGCTCACCAGTTCATTTTATATTATTGTTATTACTGTTATTATATAGTCTTGATACAACTGACACTTTATTTTATATTGATAATGTTAATTTACATGTACAACTTCTATTTTATTTACATTAAAAATGTGAACTTCTATTTACTGTTAAACAGATCCTGTATCTTGCTTATTTCTCCTGACACTTTATCTTTAGTGACCGTAGCATCCTATACATCACATGTAAGTGATTATTCTGATACCATCATGTTTCATCGGTTATAAACTGGCAAAGCTTTATTTGTCATTTATCATCAATGTTGCAACCTTGTGGAGGAATGGCAGGGGCCCATACACAAATATGATAATTAATATCATTTAAAAATATTATTTGACCTAAAACTAAATGTTTTTATGATTGTCCTCTGAGGAGGACATGGGGATTTGCAAACTTTTAATTCCCCCCCCCCCATTTTACACAACACAAAATGGAGTCCACTATGGGCCGAAACTAACATGTATGTTTCCATAGTGTTTATGGCAGACGGATGCAGTGGGTCTCAGGAAGATATATAAATAATAAAGGTGGGTTTGCTGCTGAGCCTATTTACTGTGCATACAACAAACCTGGCACAGTTTATTGTTATTATATTGCCACACTGTACACTATTGTAATGTTGCCTGTCTTGACTGGAAAATAAAAGAGAGAAACAAAAGCACTCTACAAAAGATCAGCTTTATTGTCAAAATGTTTACAATTTACACGCTGTTCAGATGCCTCATAAAGCTGGGTCGCCGGTAAGGCAGTCCATTCGTCCCTGTACTCATGGGCGTAATTTCCACTGGGGACAGGGGGGACATGTCCCCCCCACTTTTCAATTTTTTTTTTTTTTTTTTTTTACGCAAGCGGTCATCGTCACGGAGGAGCGTCTGTGTGTGTGTGTGGCACGAGCGCACCTTGTGAGAGAGAGATAGAAAGAGAGAGAGACAGAGAGAGAGAGAGACATAGAGAGTTACGGGGGTTGTTGTTAGCATTTGGTGCTAGCTCGGAGCTAATGGAGATTAGTAGCTGTTTCAACAATAAGGAGAGGGAGAGCTCTTTCCTGTCGGACTTTAAGAGACTGAGAGAGAGAGAGAAATAGAGAGAGAGAGAGACAGAGAGAGAGACAGAGAGAGAGAGACAGAGAGAGAGACAGAGAGAGAGAGAGAGAGAGACAGAGAGAGAGAGAGAGAGAGAGAGAGAGAGAGAGAGAGAGAGAGAGAGACTGAGAGAGTTACGTGGGTTGTTGTTAGCATCTGGTGCTAGCTCGGAGCTAACGGAGATTAGAAGCTGTTTCAACAATAAGGAGAGGGAGAGTCCTCTCCTGTCGGACTGAGAGAGATAACGTCAGCTCAGGGAGGTAAAGGACTCTCTGAGTGATTAGGTTGTAAACTTTAGTCTAGTTATCTCAGTGGGTCTCAAACGGTTTGGTCATCTATGTAAACAAATATTTCCATCTATGTAATATATAGTTGTATATAAAATAAGTTAAGAAATCCTTCCAATGTGTACTATAGGTCAGTACAAAAATAAAAAACACAGTTTGAAAGGGGAGTGATTAGTCAAATATGCATAAATAAAAAGAAAAAATGCAGACTAGGTAAAATAAAGATAGGAGAGAGGAGTTTATCAATGATTTGTTATTGGTTGTGAGCATATTCTAATGGATTTTTGATTATTGAAATATATACAGTTCTGTTTCATACGAGTGTTGAGAACTGTATCCATAAATCTCTTAATGTTGCCCTCAAAGTGCACCAGATTGATGCATTCAACTTCAATTTAAAGAAACAAATCTTCCCGGGGTGCATGCCCCCGGACCCCCTAGAGGATGTCAGGTAATCACAAATAAAACAGGTTCACATGGATAGGATACTAGATAAGTGTGCACACTCATTATATACACTACACATTTTTCTTGGATTTGTTAACACTATAGTCCCTAATATATTTGTAGAAAGGCAGGAAATGGAATTAAATTGAGAAAATATTTCATTTCATTTCACCCCCTGTTTTGTGTCCCCCCCACTTCTCAAACCAAAGTTACACCCTTGCCTGTACTCAGTGGCGGCCGGTGGTCTATTTTTTTGGTGGGGCTCTTGACGTACCGGGAGTGACCCGTCCGGGGGGTCCGGGGGGTTTCCCCC